AAAAACAAAAATGTGAAAGAAACCAAGAAAATATAAACAAAGTTGCTTAAGCTTAGCTTTTTAACTGTTTATTCCAAATACAAACCTGATTCAATTTTAGCGGTCCGTCACATAATGTCTCAACAGAACAAAACCTAAGGGGGGCAGTAACATGGTAGTATTCATTGAGGGGTGTTTAGGTTAGGTTAGGTTAGGTTAGTGTTAGGGTTGGGGTTAGGGTTAGGTTTGCCTAAAGGACAAAGAAAAACAGGACAAAGAGCTGAGAATTAGGTCTCTTAGGGTACGACCATTACCCAGACACTTTGCTTTGAAATACAGTTAGAGATTCAAGCCCCTGAGTAGAATTGCTTAAAGTTCTTATTGTTCCATTTTGTTATTTGCTTTTGCGGTAGCTTACATGTACTGTAATTGCCATTGTCTGGGTTTTACGACATTCAGATGAAAACCATAGACTCTAATACTTAGTATATTATTTCACTGGGCATCAGTTACTCGGTGAGATTGTATGGGTAACAGATATGAGATATAACTGGCTAATGATTGCCTTAGAAAACGACTGACCATAAGTATTGACCCTAGTAATTGCCCAAATTATGCCTAAGTTTATCATTTTTCTGGGTACTAGTTTTTAAGACTCCAGGTTGTTTGGAAGTCGGTTATCACTCACCCGGGATTAAAAGTTAACCAAACTATATTGTCTTTTTGTATAAAAATGTTTTTCACTGCTTGTGTTTTGTGTAATTTGAGATTATTCAAACTCAAAACAGAAGGACAAACAATATAAACAGAAACATTTGCCGCCAAGTTAAAAAGCTGAATTCAAAATTCTCGTTAATCCTGGGTTAGCTTAATCGGGCTTTGAACAACCCAGCCCTGGAATACTATATTAACAGGACTCGAACCCAGTTAAGTATACACACTTAATCGGGTTCGAGCCAAGTTAATTTTACTGACCAATAACAGCAACAATGCCTGTTGTCCACGCTTGACGTTCCTTATTTTGCTTGATAACTCTAGCCGGAGGTACAGTGACAATTTTCTACTTGGATTCCTTAAATCTAACTGAATTAGCTATAGTACCTGGACGCTCTTTAAACTGTCCCACAGACGTAACTTATCATCATAATTTTATACGTTAATTATAGGTCTACAGACGCCAGCCAGGATGAACACGAATGTAACAAAATGCACCATGTGCATGAATCTCCAGAAAGACCCTGTTTACCTATCTAAATGTGGTCACTATTTCTGTAAGTCCTGTACAAAATTGTTTTTTGAGAAGACGATGATCTGTCCAACTTGCAGGCGGGAGAATCTTTTGCTAGGAAAACTGCCAGTAGGGTACACGACTTGGAGGACTGAGTATAATTCACTTCCAGGATACGAGGAGTGTGGAACCATTGTCATTACCTTCAACTTCAAAGAAGGAATTCAAGGTATGGTTGAATCATTTCTATGGGAATAAAAGTTTGCGTGTATTCCGATTAAATTATGATGTACACTCTTTGCAAATCCATGCAAATCCAGGACAGCCTTTCTGTGGTTTACTTTGTACATCCTACCTCCCTAACAACCCAGCGGGACAAGAAGTGTGCAAGCTGCTGAGGAGCGCTTTTGATGCACGGTTGATGTTTACCATTGAGGAATCTCCCGCTACCGGTGACGAGTATAACATTATATGCAGCGGCATCGAACTGAAAACAAATCGAAGTGGGGGCCCAACCAAGTAAGGTTTGCCAATATAACTTAAAACTTAAACCTATACTAAATGCTAACGTTTTGTTTGTAAGTATTAAACTGTAAAGCCTTTTGTAGCATAAGCAGATATATGTCGTGATGTAAAAGTTGTATAAGATGCAGCCGAGTATGCTATATATTGCAAACCAAATAACCTTATTTGTTCTCTTGCAAACTACAAATTACTGTTGGTTCTTAGAGTCATAACCTACGCCACGCTGGTACGAGAAGCTACCAAGACTAACAAAAGAAAGAGTATTAGAATGCGGCTAAAAATGTATGTGTAAACGTAGCAGCAGCAGTGGTGATAACCCCGAGGAAAGGTTCCAAGTAGGGAAGAGCACGAGGACACAATCCGCGATCCCACGATCCTCTCCGGCCGTCGTGTCAAAAGAATATACCAATTTCTGACTGCCTCGTTCAATGTCACTCAATCGTCATGCAGAAAAGTGCTCACGGCTATCTCTGATTTTTTCTTTTTCTTTTTTCGCCCCATAACCCAGTCTGGAGCCTGACTACAGGCTAGTCGATTAAGCTTGACGCTTTCAGCCAACAGGGCTAATCTAAATAGCTGTATATGACAAATCTATCGGTTCGCAGATAACTCAGACAACGCTAGCAGTCTCAATTAATCAGAAACAAAAATCACAAAATTAGTCATCCGGTTCCCTCTGAAGTTGCAGGTTTAGTAATAGTTGCCTAAACTTTATTTACTCTCGAATATACAGAGTAGCACTGTTGCTTTTACCTGAAACTAAAGTTAAGTAATTTTTTTACTCTCTGCAGCTGTGGCTATCCAGATCCTAGTTACCTTGACCGAGTAAAGTGTCAACTGGCCGAAAAGGGAATTACACTGCCGGATGACGACTCGCTTTGATATGAGTAGAGTAGATTGAGAAAACTGCTTCTTGTTTTATCGTTGTCTCGTAGGAATCCCCTCTTCAAACAGTGCCTCTTCAGACTGGAATTTGGCAATGGACCAGCTCAATTTTTCCGCTTCTACATGCTATTTTCTATTCGCAGTGTTACCAGCTGGGAGCACGTACGTATGCCGCGTACATTCTAAATGACGATCAAGTATTGCAATCGGTTTTTAAGCACTTAATGACTGGCCCCAAGGAAAACAGTGAGTTTTGTTTCCCCGAGACCTTCAATGTTCCGCGAGGTGAAGCCGAGGAGAACGTTGAGGTCGAGGGGAAACAAAAGTCACTGTTTCCCGTGGGACCAGTCATTAAGTGTTTTGTTATACCTCCCAACTCAAAGATAGAAAAAACTGCGAAGAAATCGTTTACTTGACGTCGGCTGGCTCACAAATTTGCCGCAGTTTCAGGGAGCACGACCTGGTCACGTGCTAGTCGAAAGTTCCAGTTGTCAGTTTCCTTAGTGAGTTAGTGAGTTTTGTTCGCCCTAGGGAGTTAGTGAGTTTTGGCCCACGACACGTGACACGTTCTCCTCCAATCGGAAAACGTATTTGAGTTGGGAGGTATAACAAGATTAAATGTTTCCATTGCTGTTTCTCAGTAAAGTCAATAAGGAGATGAAGATTCGAGTACGAGTGCGAGATGCAATACGATTGCGACTTTTCTTTCCTAGTATTCAGGCTCTATATTATATCATGTCACATAGCTATTCCATCCCATGGGTTGCCCTATCCACATAAAACCAACATAAAGAGCTGGGTCTCTGGAAATGTGACACCGGTTTGAAATTTGAAAATCGTTTTCATACTTAATCTCGTACTCGTAGTTCAATTTTAAGGTCCCTAATAAGAAGTAAATATCAGCCTTCTTGACACGTTATTATAAGAAAAATCAAGAAAATTAAGTAGCCAACTCCCCGCCAGCCATGTCGGTAAACATGTCTTGGGTTCAAACCAAATTCTCCTGAAGAAATTTCTATAGAGATAATGTAAGTTGACTCAGAAAAATAGTTTCAATTCTCGGTTAGGGCTAAAAAAAGGTTCAGGGTTTGGCTTTTCGGGAAGGCCAGCATATCTCAGGCACACGATCGTTTGTTGAGTCACGGCTTCGATAGAAGCGTGACACATTGTCATCACAAGATTCGACAAGGCTGTTCCAGAAAATCCCAATTGGTAGTCAATTTCCGTGTCAGCAGTATTCTGAACACTGATCGGTCGTCATTTCCCCGTGTCAACGATAATCGGGACAGCGATCAATCGGCCAGCAATCGGAATACTTCGGATCGGTGAGAAGGTAGACTAAGATTCTTCTCGGAATTGATCGGTGTTTTCAACGAGCTGTTGCGGCAATTCGAGAGGAGAATAACCAAAAATTCTCAGTCGTTTGATAAGCTCGACCATGCTATGCTATGTTTTTTTCTACGCATGCATTTAGAAACGTGACTTGTTTCAACTTTTGCGGACTGTACCGGGATTGTGCAAATGACCTCCTAGGTCAGCGACGTAGGAATTTTACTGCTTCTCTGCAGTTTCGAAATTGCTTCAAGGCGTTTGATTGGCAAGATTAGAGAAACTCGCAAGAAGTGGGAAAATCGTTTGTTTCCTTGCAGTTGATGATCCAGAAATCAATCCTGTATTAATTTGAAACCAAGCAACTCCTTCTGGAGGGGAAATTAATTTGGCGTTGTTACAAGTATGAAACTCTTTAGTGAAGTATTGCTTCCGCTCCCTGATACTGTTCCAAATTATCGACATGTGACTGTAGTCAAGTAATGTAAACAAATATGGCAAACAGAAAAATCTGGTAAATCCGATATGTTTAGTGAATTCTCGTAAGGCTGTACGAAGTCATTGCACGTAAATGTATTATTAAATACATACTTACCTTTGGTACTGATGTTACTTTACTAGGGGTTAGTGATTCAGAATCTTATTGATCTATCAGTTGTTGAAAGCAACCGATACTTAAGGAAGGCATGGCCAAATTTGACATCATCACTACAGATCAAACCAGGTCAATGAAGCTGGTGATATGGGGGGGAAATTGCATTGGCACAATACATGGTAGCACGTTTTACCATATTTAAGATTGTAAAGTTCACATGTACATGATTTTAATGGTTATAAATGTTTCAATATTATTGAAAATACGAATCGAAGATAAAGGAAATTGAAGACATCCCAGACACAAATTTAAACACACCTCAAATACACACATTGCGTCGTTGGCATCACGCATAGGACTAGACATAAATCGTCATTTTTTGCAGTTATTTTAAGCTGCTGATGAAATGTTAAAGCCGTATCGAAAAGTAGGCCCGCAAAGTAACATTCTTGATAAGACATCTGACGTAGCCGCTCAGTTCTTAAGGACGTTCGCACTAATTGTTTCTGTGTATCCTTACTGCGCACGCAAATTCACACGCCACGTCATGCATGAGAACGCGCGCTAAGTAATAAATGAACAATGATAGGGCAGATGGCCATTGCTATAGCTTTGCCTGGATTTAACGATCTTGGACGTTCGGTGACCCCTACTTTTCTTTCAAGAAACAGATTTTATTTACAATTATCTCCACATTGTCCAAAAATGAACAAAAAATCAATGTGGGAAGCTAAAAAAAATTCAAGATTTCTGTCCGCGGGACATCGAATCCTGCCATCTTGCGGTTGCAAGGCGCGTGAAACTATGGTCGCTAAATGCGAACTTGTTCTTTAAGGAACC